TCCCAAATAAACCACTCAATTACTGAATACGTAGAATACTCCAGTATAGAATGATATGAACACTGAAGCTAATGTGACATTACGGTAGTACAATAGCAAGTACGTCATTACTGTTCTAAATACAAAACACTGATGATCCTATCCAACCTGATAGCCAATGCAAGAGGTTGCCTATTGATCACAATCATACAGTACCATCAAAAGGCAAAAGCTATCTGTCACTGCGCATTTTCCACTCAACATCACACAGATGAAAACCACCAGACTGGCAGTGCCGGCCACCAGCCACGTGAATGTCTTGGCACATAATGCGTGCTGTCGCAGTCCACCACATGTACACAGTAATCCACAGACAACTACAGATATTAAACCGTTTCACTCATCATCATATCGGAGCCGTCAGATGAGAAAACAGACCTTCAAGTATCACAAAAAAAGTCATATTTGTGTTTGTGGTACTATCTGATTGCCAGGAGCACCAGGAATCGTATGCAGAAAACTAGAGTTGATTTGGACAAGGGAAAGTAAAGTTATAGCCTCGACAATAGGAGACCATTACAAAATGCACCTCAATTCTGGGTGCATTACCAACAATTGTTTCACCTACTTTGGCTAATATTTTCTGTTTCCTTTGACCGATTTCCACAAACTTGGGCTTTCTGGAAAGCTCTGGCGACGAGCAACCCGTTGGGCCCAAATCCGATAGCAAATAAAGCACAGCTCCAGCGCAGCAAGCTGCAGACATCGCTTCAGCGCTAGACTTGCGCCGTCACACGAAAATCGCTCGCCATTTCCATCTCCATTCAGTATCCCAGGACGCCCAATTTTTTCCGTGAAGATGCAGTGAGAGCTTCCGAGACGTCTGAGCCTGTTGCCGAGATCGTAGATCGCTTGAAAAGGGGAAACCCCCATAGTACAGGAGCCAAGTGGGTGAACACCTCAAGGAAAAAAAGTTCGTTCCGACTTTAAGCGTACCACGATTTTTTTACATAAATCGCTAGGCAATACCTTGTACAGGACAAATCCACTTGTTGTCATTCCTGAAAGTTTCTGGAAGGTCGACCATGGTCGACTTCCAAGGGCTTCTTCTCCCAACAAAATTCTTCGAGTTGCTATGACAAGAGATCGCAAAACTCAAGCATTTTCAAGAAATGTTCAAAACTTTTTGCGCAAAGTGCACGCGGTCGGCTCCCGCGGCGTGCGGGTGCGTACTGGTGACCTATGACGATAGACGTAACCATGGTACTTTATGGCGTCATACATCAGCGCGTGGTTAAGTTTCACGTAAAAGTCTTACGTCCGTGAACTTTTACGTCAAAAGTGAAAAAACTCACGTAAAATTTGACGTGTTTTACGTGAGTTGACTGTCCCGCACGTAAGTTCATGACGTGAGTTTTTGGAAGTTTCGCTTGGTTATCCCGACCGAATTTGTGTGAGTTTCCGGAATTTTATCGAGATTTATCAAGTTTGTTGGAAGATTTGATATTTGTGCGAACTAAACCCGAATCCTGCCAGGCAAAATTTCACGTCACGTCGCACGTGTAACTTAACCTCTAAAAATTACACGTAACGTGAGATTTGCACCGCGTTTTGAAAAAGGGCAAACAACGTGTAACTTAACCTCTCTATTTACATAAATAGATGCGTTATGTTTTGGTGATGTACCCTGTCCTTACAACCGCTGGGCTGTGCCAACCCGCTGACATAAACGTATGACACGTACAACAATGTACAGATGCATTCGCCCATTGCAAACACTGCAAACACGATTCCATGGGGATTTAGAAGCCCGTGGCAACTGTGCGCTATTATGTATTTGCAGTACTCCACAAGAAGACTTTTAGGTCTATACCAAGGGGTTGTCAAAAGGTATTTTGAAGTCCGGATAATCACATGCATAATTCTGTGTTGTGTGTGTTGGTCATGTGTGTGTTGGTCATGTGGGTGTTGGTCACGTGGGTGTTGGTCACGTGGTTGTTGGTCACGTGGTTGTTGGTCACGTGGTTGTTGGTCACGTGTGTGTTAGTCATGTGGGTGTTGCCCTTGAATTATCGGTGTCTAAAGTGTGTTGTCCATTGGTTTGTATTGGCCCCTGCATGTAGACTCCGCTGCAGATTCACCGTCTGCACATGCGGGCATCACAAGCACAGCTACCAGACCGACAACAAGACAGAGCTTGAAAGTTCCGCAAGTCAAGCCAGGAAATATTGATTGTGTCTTCTGTGGGAAAGCTAAGAGACGGCTCCCCGGAAAGAAGAACCAGTATCAGACAACGTCATTGTGTCAAAGCGAAAATGCTGCGGAGAAGATTTTGTTGGCAGCTGATTTGAGAGACGATGAACGAGTAAAGATAGCAGTTGGAGCGTTATCCAGTTTGATTTCTCGAGAAGTTCGTTATCACAAGCTATGCTATAATGAGTTCACCCGTTAGAAATCTCTGGATGCCCTTGCAAAGACGAAATCCTGCAAAGCCAAGAGCAATATTTCGGATGTTGAGGCCAATTTCTTCGCACTACTGGAAAGCCAACTGATAAAGAAGAAGATGCGCTTGTCTATGGCAGACTTGAAGCGACAGTACGATGGTTGCTTCAGCGCTGCAGGAGTTCTCAGTAATGTCCGCAAGGACAAACTTAAAGCCCACATCAAGAGGCATTTCGGAGAGAGTGTGCAGTTCATCAGGCCCAGCCGCGCCAATGAACCTGAACAGGTGTTCGCAACCCAGTACAGTCAGGAACTTCTACGAGAGTCGGTTAGCCAACATCGTCATGATGGCGATGATAGTGATGATTGCTACAGCTGTAACAGTGACGAAGGTGATGACGAAGGTGATGACGATGGTGATGATAGGAGTGATACTGATGTTGCTAATGATGATTGCGCATTCTTGATCCCTGAGGAGGGCGCTGCTGATAGCCATGGTCCTCCAGCCAAAGAGGCACCACCTTCAAGCACGCCTGATGGACCCTTGGCAGGCAATGAATGCGGACTTGAGGAGTGGCGCATCATCTACCATGCAGCACTAATAATTCGCCGAGAAGTAGACACAACTGTATCAACAGCCAAGAAGTCACAATCAGGTGAGTGACTACTGAAGTAGCTATGGTAATCAACATGCATATAAATGGTGCACTGCGTATTGTATATGCCCTTTTGACATTCTGAGAAATTAGTAGACATAACTGCAATACAATAGTACATCCAAACTCTGTACAGAACTATAGTGCTCATTCCATGAAATGCTATTTCTAGATGACAATATTGGAAATCATTGTGATTAGCTTATTCTGGAATATAACATAATTATTATGTTTGTACTGATTTCAATTTCAGTCAGAAATAGTGTTGCAATTTTCACAACATTGGGGAATTTTGCTGTGCTCTTATTTTTCTACTACAGATGTTGATGTAGTTCCCGACGTTCTCTTTAACCTTCTTACGTGGGTAATAGCAGACAAAGGCAGCATCGAGTTCAGCACCAAGCGGACGGCAAATCTTGATGACCATACTGAACGTCGTATCTCCTCTACCAGCAATGATATTGTCTTCTCGGCCACTGCCTACCCAACCAAGAAGCACACCACTCTAGCCATGGCCCTGCACCACTTATTTCGCAGCAAGCTAGTTGTCACCGTTCTCAACCGCCTTGGACACTGCAGCTTGTATAGTCAAGTGCAAGAGATCGAGACGAGTCTTGCAACCCAGCGTGCCCTGAATGCCAACCAAGTCTCTCTCCCACAAGTTGTCGACCCGAAACGGCCATTCCATTTCGTTTGGGACAATAACGACTTGTGTGAGGAGACTTTGCCTGGAAAAGGCACAACGCACTGCACGAATGGTATTGTTATACAACGAAATGCCCCTGATGACAGCCTCATCAACTCCACGCCAGTCTCTGCTGTTCGCTCATCAAAGCGTAAGCGTTCCCTGCCAACGCATCCAATGTTATTACCAGTGTTTCCCTCGGGAAATAAGGTCAATCCACCACCCATGGCCATGCCATCTGACTTCAACCTCGCTATTACCACCCAGGTCAATGGAGTTCAGCCAGCACTCATTGATTTCCTGTGGATTCTTGCCAGAATGTGCCCAAGTGGAGATGTTGGACACCCAACTGCAGTGAGAGAAGATGCGCAGTCTGTAGTCGAGGAGTCTCAGTTACAAGTGGTTCCAGCCTGGACAGCTTTAAACTCACTACTGTGCAAGGAATCAACTCCACCGCGATCGACTGTAGCATATTGTCCTGTGATCAGTGCATCGCCAACCGACAGTGCCACAGTATATGCGCTACTGTCACAGTCAGTGTCCATGACTCGGAAGGCTGAGCTCCCATTCTGTGTGATTGTCTTGGACCAAGCAATTTATGCGAAGGCCACAGACATTGTATTGCAGAGGGCATCTGAGTTTAGTGACGTTGTTCTGAGGATGGGCGGTTTCCATATCTGCATGACACTGCTCGCAATCATTGGAAAGTGTTTCTCCGATGGTGGCCTACTCAACCTGTTGGTAGAAGCTGATGTGGCTGGATCCTCAACAGCAGGTACTAACTAGGTTTAACGCTGAGTGGAAAGCAGTACAACCGGGCGGTGCGCTTCCATAAATTGGTCTATGAAGCTCTCCAGCGATTGCGATGGCGCTCCTTCATCGATCATCTGTGTGATTCCCGTCCTGAGTGGTTGTCAACCCTTCAGATCAAGAGCGGCCTGCTTGAGTTGCGGAAGTCCATCAGCCTCGACAATGCCAGCCAGCTATTGGGCAGCAAAGATTTCCAACAGCTGTGGCAGGAGTATGACAAGTTTTGCTGCCAACGGAATATTGCCTCCACTATGTTCTGCTTCTGGTCCAGTTACATCGATCTAGTGGGCCTCCTACTCATGTTCGTACGCTCAATGCGTATCGGTAGTTGGCAGCTCCATATACAGTGCATCGGTCGCATACAACCTTGGTGTTTTGCTTACAACCGCCACAATGATGTGCGCTACATGAGTCTGTACTAGCTGCAGATGCTGCAACTGCCAACAACCAACCCAGAGGCTGCTGCATTCCTGGAATCGGGCGGATTTGTTGTCCAGAGATCTGAAAACCCCTTTGCTCAAGTAGCCTCAGATCTGGCCATTGAGCAGACCATCAATCGCTCGTCAAAAACAACAGGTGGTATCATCGGCATCAGCTTGAACCCATCTGCTGTACAACGCTGGGTCATGACGGCGCATGATCGTGCACGATTTGCAGATTCCTGTCTCCAGCTCTGTGGACTTGACGACTGCTCCCGTGAGGCTGATGTGCTGCACAAAGAGTGTCATCTGCCACGCATGTCCAGAGATGAGGATGATGTGCCACGCATGTCCAGAGATGAGGATGATGTGCCACGCATGTCCAGAGATGAGGATGATGTGCCACGCATGTCCAGATATGAGGATGATGTGCCACGCATGTCCAGAGATGAGGATGATGTGCCACGCATGTCCAGAGATGAGGATGATGTGCCACGCATGTCAAGAGATGAGGATGATGTGCCACGCATGTCCAGAGATGAGGATGATGTGCCACGCATGTCAAGAGATGAGGATGATGTGCCACGCATGTCCAGAGATGAGGATGATGTGCAATGTGTGGAGGCAACGATATGTGGCTGGGTCAACCCCTTTGGTGACGAACCGCTGGATAGGGATTCTGCCGACTTGGTCAACCTCTCGTCTGGTTTGATGTGCTCCGAGCAGACCACGAAGGACTTGCTTGAAGCAGAACAGCAGGGAAAGGAAGCATTTCAAAGATTCATCAAGAATCGCGTTGTCGACCAGTGTGACAAGTTCCACGACCCCATCCAGAAGCTGAAGCTAAGCACGTTTGCCGTCCGCAAGGAGCGTACCACCACCCGTAGTGCGTTGAAGGTAGCAGTGCTCAAGGCGGATTGTGCCCTGTTCAGTAAGATGGCTGTTATTGCCCAGCAGCGTCATCTTGACATTCGTGAGGTTCTTGCATATCCGCTTTCAGCTGCGCCCTTGTCGCTATGCACTGCAGAAGGCACCAGGGTGAAAACAAACAAGGCTGCACTGTTGCAGCTCCTCAGCAAGACGGATTGTACCAGCCATGAGCCAGCACCTCCATCTTCGGCTGCGTTAATCGTCGATGCCATGGCTCTGCTACGGACCCTGAAGCCGACTTCCTTGCCAGGTACGCTCGGAGAACTGGCAAAGCATGTGTTTATGTGCCTCTCGAGGAATTTCCCGCAGTTTCGGCGAATCGACTTTGTAGCTGATACGTATCCAGAATACTCCATCAAAGATGTTGAGCGAAGTCGACGAGCGCAATCGCATGGTGAGATCCGGCTAAGAATCTCAAGTGGACAGCAGCACACGCCGAAGCAATGGGCTAAGTTCTTGTCAAGTGGCAGCAGCAAGACTGAGCTTGTTAGCTTCCTTGTTACGGAATGGTCCACCGATGCCTACGCCAGCCACCTGAAAGCTAGACAGCTGTACGCAACAGACGGTATCAGCTGCGTCAAGCTAGTGTCGCCTGATGGCCTCACCACCACAGCAACAGAGTGCTTACGGCTGAACTGCTCACATGAAGAGGCAGACACTCGGCTTCTGCTGCACGCTCGTGATGCTTTTGCAGAAGGCTATACTTCGGTCACGATCAAGTCGCCGGACACGGACGTAGCGGTTCTGGGTTGCGGACTGAGCCACCGCTTTCCTGACAGTATGAAGCTCCTGTTTCTGCCTGGTTCTAGGAGCAAAGTCCTGCTCCTGAATCTCTCAAAGATTGGCTCTGCGCTAGGCACTTCCGTGTGTGACGCACTGATCGGCATGCATGCCTTTACCGGGTGCGATACGGTCAGTGCGTTCCACGGAAAGGGCAAGACCAGCGCTTATCAGCTCCTGACCAGTGATGGAAGCAAGGGAGACCTGGCACGAAGTTCAATGGCCGAACTTGGCAAAGCCTTCAACCCGCTGTCAGCAGGCGCCATGGCAGAAATCGAGCGGTTTGTCTGCATGCTGTATGGCTGGTCAAACCAGTCAAGCGTTAACAGCTTACGGTACGAGTTGTTTTGCTTGCTGGATAACGCCAAGGATTCGAGCAGACTGCCCCCATGCCACGATGCTCTGCGTAAACACGCAGCAAGGGCCAACTTCCAGGCGGCTGTTTGGTGACGTGCTCTAGAAGCCCAGCCCCCTGTCCCTGAAGCGTACGCTGGAAGCCATGGTTGGCAGCTGTCCAATGGCCAGCTGCGCATTGATTGACTCTCGGTAGCTGCAGCACCACAAGCAATCTTGGAATTTGTGAAGTGTTCCTGCAAGACCGGCTGCCAAGGTAATAGATGCTCATGCCCCAGCCAATCCCTTCCCTGCACGGATGTTTGTGGATGCAGTAGCGAGTGTAGCAACCGCGAGGAGTCAGGTCATCCCATAATTCAAGAAGATGACCACACTGTCCAGTGTGAGTAATATTATTGTCTAATCTTCATCCAGGCTGGGTACCTCTTATTTGTGTTGAACTTCCTTGGCTGCAGGCAGTCACGGGTAATACATCTGATCCACCTTGTCTTTTGTTTGTTATGTTACAGAGCCGTTGGATTACTACACATGCCTGGTCCAAGATCTCCATCACCACAGCTGTCATCGTGTTGGAGCATTGGTGTAACATTTCTATCTGTTTAAGGGGGTTCGGGACAGTTAGGCCCAAAAATTTTATTTCAACATCAGCCCAATCTGACATCAGGTTTGAATAGGTACAGCCTTATATTTTCGCTTAGTAACATCAGTTTTTCAATTGCCTGAATAGGTCTTGCCAAAAACACAATTTTCCTTGATGACACAAAATAACACAAAATCCCAAAATTGATGAGAAATCGTCCATAACATCAGTTAGGACAGAAAATATGACCTAAAATTTTACAGACTGTTCGAGGTATTGACTAAGATGATATCAACACCGAAAAATGTACACTTTGGTTGACGATGGGATCCAGGTCGTCATTTCCTGGAGAAGAACAAAAAGACGCAAAAAATGAAACTTTGAATATTTTTTGCAGCTTATTTTTGAGTTTGCCCCATATGTGGATACTTCAAATACGTTCTATAAGTGGGTTGGAACAGGTTTACCGCGGCGAAAATAGGGGTCACCGTGCATATTCTGGAGAAAAATCCAAAAAACTGTCAAAATTTGCCTAAAATTGGTAAATTCACGTATCTATATTGCTTGTACTTCTCTGCTGCTGCCTTGGTCATAACTTATTGGATTTTTGGCTGTTAGGTGTTGCATAAACTCACTAGAGCCCTCGGCGTTCAGAACAATACAAGGATGGAATAGCTGAACTAGTAAATTTGCCGGAAAACCCTGGGTGCACGCATTATCGATAGGTACTTTTCTCCATGATTACTCTCCTGTTGGTACTTGGTTGTGATACATGTACATGTAGCTGTGATAGCGCTTAGCACAGCCCCATATCAAACTGCAATGAAAGCTGACATGTTGGAACGAATCAGACAACATTGAGTCCTCTTGTTCTTCAACTATGCGAGCTAGAACGTGTCCCAACACTGGCAAAAATGATGGTATTTTACGGTGCGCACAAACAAGTGAAGCACTGTGCCACAGGGCGTTCCTTACAGTTGGGTTGCTGCTGGTTCTTCGCTAGGTGTTCAGCCACCGCTAATATAATCTTCCTTGAGACTGTCACCCGCTTCTTACTTCCGACTTGCTCCTTCATCAGTCTGGAAATGGCTGGCTCACCACTTCGTTTGTAGGACAAGACAAAGTGCTTCATCACCAACCCACTGGCAGCTGCCCGCACTGCAACTGATTTAGAGAAGCACGTTGCTTGGACCAACGGTTGAAGGGTGGCCAGCCGCTTTTGCTGATGTTCTGCAAACTCCACCGCCGAACATGCTGATGAGTTCTACAGGATACTGGCATTAGGGCGAGCTTCGACAATTTCAGCTAGGGCCGCAACAGCATCATGAGCAGCGAACTCATTCCCAACGATGAACTATAAATCAATCTGAGGCTGTAGCTTGGGAGCTCCGGTATCGCGGTTTAGGGATCAGAGTGTTCACCCAGCACAAAAATGCACACCATCGACACACACACACATCCGTGCACACATACACACACACACACACTACTACTACTACTACTACTATTGACAGCTGCCAGGATTGGCCACGCCGCTCCCAGATGGGAGGTACTGTCAGAGAGGTTAGGGGGGAGGAAGGCAATGCTCCAAGTGGCGTTCCAGATCTTGCCGCCTCCGGAACCGTCGGTTGTGGCAAACTTGGCAGTGAAACTTGAATTGTTGGCGTTCAGCCACAGTAGGGCGCTTTGGACAGGTTCCACAACGGTGACGCTTGAGACCCGCAGCCGATTTAAATGAACGCTGACAGTTGGTGCAAGTTACACCCGGAACAACAAGAGGAGCAGGGGCAGGGGCCGGCGGCTGGTCGACATCGCCTAGCCGACACTTATGCACCGCAAAGCCTCCTCTGCTACGTAGCCATCGGTTGCATGTTGGACACTGTACTGATCCAGGCTGCTCCGATACCGGGAGCTGACGGATTGCTGAACACTTGTGCCGGGCCATGTCGGAACTACGGCGGAACAGACGGTTGCAGGTTGGGCACTCGATGCTCTTCGGGGCAGGTTCCTTGTCCTCACCTGCTGCTTTCACCACTCCACGCCACTCTCCACGATCGCTTGCCAACTCAAACCAGTTACGCACTCCAGCCAGGGATAGGTCCGTGTGAATGGTGTCCTTCCAGCGACGACGAGGTCCACAGAATGGCCGAGACTGAGGGAGACAGGCAAACAGCAACTGCTTCGGTACTCTGGTGTCATCAAGACGAGCCAGGTGCCCAAGCCACTCCAACCGTCTCTGCTGCACCATGCGTGACGTGTGGGATCACCCCACTGTGCTCGCAGTTCCTGTGAAGAGATGCGCTGTTCCCACTGTCGGCCTCGCGATACGCCAAGGATGGAGCGAATGTTGGCATGGTGAAGCCGGTCCATTCTATCTAAATCTGCCTTCAACGGCGTCCAGCATTCTGAACCATACAGAACCGTTGACAGTACGCAAACGACATACAGGTGGCGCCTGGTAGGGAGGTTCAGGCTCCGGTCATGTAGGATGCGCCGAAGACCACCAAAGGCCCCTGCACCCTTTGCTAGACGGCTCCGAATGTCCGCTTGCGACCGCGAGTCTGGAGTGATGGTGGAACCAAGATAGGGGAATGAGGTGACTGCTTCAACCCTATCACTGCCAATGACCAAATCAGAGCAATCAGCAGGGCAAACTCCGAAACCTGCAACGAGAAGCTTGGTCTTACACACACACACACACACACACACACACGCGCACACACACACACATGCATGCTCTCACACGCAATAGAACACACGCGCGCGTACACACACATACATTCACGCACGTGTGCGTACCCACCCACATGCATGTGCACACTCATGTGCATGAGTGGAGATGCCCGCATACACATGTCACACCAACATGCCCTGGGAGCGGTCATGCACGTGTGTATAGTATGTGTGCGAGGGCACGTCCACATGAGCGCATATGCATGTGCATGCTCATACATGCGTATGGTGCACACATGCACAAACATGCAGGTCTATGCAAACACCCACACACACACTCGCGGCCGCCGCGCATACAGTGTGCTCATATATTTCCATAGCCATAGGGTGGCAATGACTCGCAAATATCATGAATAAATCTTATGAGATTGAAAAACGCACTTACCCAAAGCAGCTTTGGTGTTGCTTGTGGAAGCACGGGGGCCAGGGTGTTGAGCAGTTACAGGGCTATCTGTAATGTATCTATAAAATTCTCCATCCCACACTGCTGACACGGAATGACAAGTACGCTGCCCTGGTCGTACCTCTTCTCTTCAACGCAATCCGACAATGAGCGCCAGAGGTTTGCCACATCCAGGATTCTGGCACGCAGACAATCCCACTGCCAGATACCTGAGATGAACGATTCGTCGACCGTGAAGAGGGGCACTGAACGACCTCTTCGCGGGAGTCGAATCCAGTGGCGTTAGTGGTGGAGATCGCCCTTTCCGTTTTTCAGGAACTCGATCGATCGTTTGAGTTTGCGAAGCGTCCCCGTCCTCGGCTTCTTGCATCGTCCAGTACGCAGAATGAGAGGCCGCGTCGTGGGTGACGGATTACTCTCCCGCGTCTTCATCTCCACGACACGTCGGCAGGAGAACCGAGCTATCCAAAAACCGCCAATGTCAAAACAAATCCGCAAGTCCACTAGTGGCTGAGCTTCTTCCTCAAATCTTGTCTCGACTCGAGCACGCGCTGCGAAGTCATGGTCAAACTGCTTATTTTTTTACTCGATTGTGCATGATCGCGTCCCATTTTTCCACTCCGAAAGGCATTATTTTTCAGAAAAAAATTCGGAAATCCAACATGGCGCTAACCGTCGCGAACCTCCTTAAGGTGGCTCCTACCCCTCGGGTCCAAAATCTTTTTGTTTGAAACGTGGCTACAAACGATTGTACTTTGTTCCGTAGGATATCTAGTGTACGGAGACAAAATTTTATCAAGTTCTACCGGCCGGTTTCACTCGGGGGAGGGGCCAAACATAGCATACTCACAATTGCCAATTTAGGCCAAAAAACACCGGAAAACCACTTTTTTGGTCGTAGCACTCGTAGTTACCCTATTTTTCTTGATGTCCAACATCAGGACAGTAGTATACTTGCTAAATACCAGCATAAGCTTTAGAAGTGGGTAGAATTCTGCTAGAAGGTGACCTTTTTCTCTTTTCGGAATCATCCCATTTCAGCGCACACGTCCCACATATTAGCCCCGCCCACAAGTATTTGACACTGGACTTGCCCTGTATTCGATGGTTTTGCTATCATAACCTAATAATGGTACTGTGTAGCAAGTTTGAGCAGGTTCTACCGAAGGTACCTCTTGAAATAAAACTTTGAAGTGTCAAGTGATGCCATATTTTCAAGAATCAGCACATTGCACTGGGACATTGTCCAACGCCTTAGAACCCCTGACTCCACCATATGACAGATACTTATCTTGCAATAATTGATTGCAACATCTTCAGAACATAGTAGTAGAGCTTTGGATCAAGTTTTAGCAGTTTCCACCGAAGCTAACTACCAAAATAAAACTTTGAAGTCGCCCACATACTAAATGCAATAGCTGAGCATGTGCATTGAGTGTATGGTCTAAAGGTTTTCACAACTAGCTCCAATGCGGCAGATACGTGTCTTACATTACTTGATTGCAACATCTTCAGAACATAGTAGTAGAGCTTTGGATCAAGTTTTAGCAGTTTCCACCGAAGCTAACTACCGAAATAGAACTTTGAAGTCGCCCACATACTAAATGCCATAGCTGAGCATGTGCATTGTGTGTATGGTCTAAAGGTTTTCACAGCTAGCTCCAATGCGGCAGATACGTGTCTTACATTACTTGATTGCAACATCTTCAGAACATACAGTAGTAGTAGAGCTTTGGATCAAGTTTAGACAGTTTCTACCGAAGCTAACTACCAAAATAGAACTTTGAAGTCGCCCACATACTAAATGCCATACATGTAGCTGAGCATGTGTATTGAGTGTACATGTATGCTCTAGTGTTTTTCACAACTTTCTCCAACATGAAGCCA